TTTATAGGTTCAAAAAAAAAAAATTTTGGGGAAAAAAAAAAAAAAAAAAAAAAAAAAAAAAAAAAAAAAAAAAAGAAAAAAAAAAAAAAAAGAAAATTCCAAATCCCAACAAAACAAAAGGAGGAAAAGAAACATGGGTGGATCCCCAGGCTTTAGGTTAGAGCTGTGCAATGGGCAGGGGCTGAATTAATATAACCAGCTTGCCCTGTGTGAACCCTTGACAGAGCAAAAGCAACAAAGAACCCGTTCTTTCCACTGCTATCCCACTGCCAGTCCTCCAGCCAGGTTTCAGCAGCAAACTTAATTAAGCACAACTATTACACTCTTTCAAGACATTAGGTTTAAAGTTTGAAGCAAATTCTACCAACACAGAGTTTGCTAGAAATTTATTTGCAATCTTTTCAAGATTATGCTCTTGGTGTTAATCTCCTGTGAACGCCAAATATTCAACCCCTAAAAAGAAGTCTGAGTTATACAGAAATTTCTATGGCTTTTACATAAGCCAGGGCTCTGCTGGTTACACTGGTAAGAACAGAGACTGGGCATTTCTGGGTACGGCATCCTCACTTTGGAGGAGGATCTGAGAGCAAACCTTTTACACCTGTGACAGACAGTAAAACAAGTTGTGTGAGGCCACGGAGCACTCGTCCCTGCCTTAGCCCTGGGATGGGCTCTCAGAGAGAATGTGAGGGGCAGCAATTAAGCTCCAACCCTGCATCTGTGACAGTCATTAAGATGAAAACAGCAACAGCAATTTCTACAATAATACTTAACCATATTCCTTATGTGATGAGTCATTGGAAGGAAATACTGAAAATAAAATTTAAAAAAATCTTATCCATTGAGTAAGAGATACTGAAGTATAACAATAAAACCCAAAATTTAACATCTTTGGTTTTAAGACTCAGGGCAGGAAAAACACCAGGGAGAAAGAAAGTTTTGCTACCACAACTAAACTTTGAAGAGCCTTGACTTGTGCCCTTGCCTAAACAGATATTTCGTACACATCACCACTAAGAGACAGCAGCCACATCCATTCAGGCAGGGGCTAGAAATTAGGTGAGTACAGACTGGGATTCCCATGAGCTGGGAAACTGGAATGATACCTGCAGTGTTCATTTCAGAGAGAACACCTGGCTGACAGAGTCAGGCCGTGAAGCACCAAATATGCCACGATAGTTCCCTTCTTCCCTACCGTCACAGCCAAGGCAAGGAGCTTGGATCATCACCTCTGTGCCCATGGCTGATCAAAAGCAGTCTGCAGACTGTGCTGCTAAAGACGTTTTTAGGCACCATTTTTGTTTCTAGGAGCTTCCAGTACCTGGAAAATACCTTCACAGGCTTAAGAGGAATAAAACCCCAACCAACCAACAAAACCCTTGCAGCACTCCCGAGCAAGTGGTTATTTTTAATCAAAAAGCCTGTTTTGACTTCAATATGGGCAAGTTAACACGTAAAAAAGGTAGAAATGTCCCAAAAAATGCTCTGAAACACTAGATCAGTGAGAAAAACTAGTGCTTTCAGCCTGGAAAGAGGGAAAAGTATTGACGGTCTCGGATAAAAATAGCAACAGCAATGACCAGAACCCTTCCTACCTCGAGGGTTTGTATCCATCTCCCCAGATGTTAGGCCAATTAGATTTGGACGCTGCATTTGTGCTCTCGTAAAGAACTGCCGATACTGAGATCTACCAGCACTGGTAATACTAGGAGCTTCAGGGTTATAGCCATCTGGCTCATATGTATCTACAAAAAAAGGAGAGAAACGACAGAATTTTTCAGGTGAGTTTAAGACTCGGGGTTAATTTCCCTTTAAGGCAGTGCACAGATGTCCAAGAGTCAGAAGCTGTCTTGGATGAAAGAAGAGAGGTGGTACAGCCAACCTGTGCAGCCATTGCAAACCCTCACCTGATCTTCAGGCCTAGCCTATCTGGACACATTTGTTTTTTATGCTGGTACTGTTTGTCCAAAGAACACAGGTCACAATACAGAGCACTGCTGATCCACTGTCTGGAAGGGCCTGAGGTGTCTGTGTGACAGCGTGCACAACGTCTGGCAGTGTTTTAAGGGCAATAACACAGGCTTTGGTTTCAGCATTTATACTGTAGAGTCTAAGATGCAAAGATATTTTCAGCCTTAGCTGTCCAACAGTCTAGTTCTCCTCAGAAAAGAATTTTAGGTGAAGAACATATTTAAATTATTTCAATCAAAATAAAACCTGAGAAATGAGGTAATGGAACCAATACTTACCTACTGAATTTTCTTTATGCAAGAGTGAGATCAGCTGCCTAGCTTAGGTAAGGTACTAATGATCACTTTCATTAGAAGGGTCACCACAAGAATATAAGATGACAGAATTTACTCCTATTGCTCCTCCAGCCCAAGGTCCAAATTGAGGATAATGCATTTTTTAACCTTAAACAGGAAAAGCTGTACAAGAAGTAGAATGAATGAAGTCTGTGAAGTGCCTCCACAGGAACAGTACATCCAGGAGCAGAATGAATGCCTGTACAAGGGAACCTGACAGACATGAACTCCTCCAAAATCTCAGTTCTTTATTCTGCAGCAACAAAGACAACTCTACAGTTAAAAACAGATGCCCCACAATACCCACACTGATAGCAGAGCCTGACACTCTAAAACAAGAACTACTTCTAACCTTGAAGGAGCTGAACCACAAGCTCCTCTTCCCTGAATTAGAACATGACTGAGTGCGGGAGGGCAACCAGCAGCTGCTATCCCAACAGTCCAAGAACAGGACACGAGAGTCTCCACAGAGGTTCTGCAGAACAGAATTACTGTGAAGCCCTGTGAGCTCCGAGGCAGAATCACCCATTAGAAGTTCTGGAGCTGAAAAGATCAGATGGTGACACACAACAGGACCTGGGGATAACTGAACAGATTATCTAATAAGAAATTTGAGTATCTGAAACTCTGAAAAGCATGGAAGTCACAAATAAAATGACATGGATCATGAACTGAAGTGGATCCCCTCTCTGAATAAAATTCAGAATATTTATGTTAAAAAAAACCCAGATGGGAGTATTATAAAACACTGACATTTAATTATTTTATTTTGGTCATACAGAACATGGAAATGCCATTAATCTTTCAATTATCAAAGAAATAAATTTTGTTGTATTTAAATTCAGTAATCTAGGACTTTCCAGGTATTTTTCTGTTTTCCCTCATAAAAACATACTTTTAAAAATGTTGAACTCTGTTGAGGAAGAGGGATGTGTCCAGTGAAAGCTAACAACTTTTAGAAAGCTAGAACCAGGGTGATTCTGGAAAAAGAGTAGGAAAAGTACTGATGTCCATGAAGACTGTACAGACTATTGCAACATACAACTGGGAAAAAAATCTCTCATCTGTATTAGTCCAAACAGGAGAGGAATAAAGCCCAAGTTAAACAGCAATTACAGGTTTGCAGATCCATCTTTCAATTACTAATGTCCTACTGAATGGCTTGAAGATGAAAGGAACGTTTCTTATGCAACAATTGGATTGCTGTGAGCTGGTGAAACCCAGAGCTCCCCACAGAGCTCCCCCTCAGACCAGGACAGAGCACTGCTGCCACTCCATTCTGGAATGGGTGATGGGCTGACCCAGGGAGAGCCATCAGACTTCTTTTTAGATTGGTATATATTGGAGGAAGACAGATCATAATTTCTAATCATACATCAACAGAGGAAATTTACGATTTTTCCATCAAACAGATTTAACCCAAAGGGCATTTGCTTACGTTCTGACACTGTATAGAGCAGGTTCTGAGGCAGAGGAGGAGGCAGCCTTGCTCCCACGGGTGCCAGACTGGGCACTGCGCTCGTCCCTGGCTGGTCACGACTGTTTATCAAGCTGGACTGTGTTAAAGGTGGTCCTGCAATGACACCACAGAACAGATCACACACTGACAGCTCAAAGGCAAAATGTGAAAACAATTCAATGCTGTGTTTATGCCTCGCTTTGAGCAAGGTCAGGGTTGTAAATATGCCCAATCCCACTACAGCAGCAGTAAAATGAGAAGCCTGTTCAGGTAAGCTACTCCGATTCCAACATCTTTTCTCTTTCTCAGGAGACAATGCTCTCAGGGAAAAGAAAAAAGGGTCTTTTCTTCCCCAGTGGTTCGTTAGTGCTAGAGATGTCTTAGCCACAGCAGCTCCTCTCTCAGCTCTACCATGGAGAGCTGAGGCTTGCTCAGAGCAAGGGATCACATCAGCAGCATTTCGGCTGCAGTTCTGAAACAAGAGCTGCAGGGCAAGAGGCATTCCCAGACAAGGAATTTCTCTAGCTGTTGTGCTTTGGTTTCCCCACATACCATACAGACATTCCTACTGACTGTATGATCAAAAAGGACCCGGAATGACACTACACAGACCACCCTGAGCACTGTCTGTTCTCTCACAGCAAGTCAGTTCCACCTGCTAAAAGGCTCATGCAAAGTTTAGGGTTAATCCTGTATCAAATTTTTCCTCATCCCAAAATTGCTGATATTGGACACAATTATCACAGCATTTATTTTGTGCCTGGAATAGACAGCACTGAAACAGAGTAAGCATGCCCCTAATATGCTATTTCTTCACAGAGTCTGTAAGATGTAACATCTCAGATCACTGCAGAGCTAGGAAAGATCTTAAATGTGTCAATAATGTATTGCTTTCTAGTGATAGATAATGTAGCACCAACTCTGGAGCTTTATTAGAACCTCTAGGAGACTGAATCTCAACATTTTTTGCATTACAGCAGGAAACAACATGGCTAGTAAGTGCCAGTGACCAATCCAATCACTACCAACTACCACAGAGGTGAGCTGCAAGGTCCCTGACTCCCTCCTTTGCCCAACTGAATTCAGGCTGCAGCGCTAGGAACATCTCGGTTTAGCAGCGGAGCAGCCAGAACTCAATTCAGGCTGCAGTGCTAGGAACATCATGGTTTACCAGCTGAGCAGCCAGAACTGAATTCAGGCTGCAGTGCTAGGAACATCTCGGTTTAGCAGCGGAGCCCCCAGAACTCGCTGGGCCCCGTGTGGAGCAGCACGCGGCTCGGGAAGGAGCGGCACTCACGCGGGACGGGCAGCACGACGGGCGGCGGGGGCTGCGGGTGCGGCTGCGGCAGCGGCAGCCTCAGCCCGCGCACCGGCCCCGGCAGCGGCGGCAGCAGCAGCCCCGGCGGCGGCGGCAGCCCCGGCGGCGGCGGCGGGAATGGGATCATGCTCGGCAAGGAAACTTCGTCTACTACTAAAGGATCGTTCCCGTGATCAAACTGACAGAGGTCACCAAGGACACAATAGCCTCGCTCTGCAAAACAGAACATTTCATCTCGTGTTACAAAACAAACGCGGTGCTTCAGTTTAGTTCTCAGCGATTTAGAGCATTTCAGGTTTTCATGGCACTTCTTACAAAGAAAACACGCATCCGCTGATATCTTACTATATTGTAATGTAAGGTTTCACAGAACAATTACAATCAGATCAATCTTTCATAAAAGCATATAAACTTGCATTCATCATAAAAGCTGTGGAAAAACCAGTCAGAAGTGCTGTGATTTATTTTAAACGCACACACAGATCTGCACCAGGACTGCCAGGGGTTAAGGTATTTGTCTAGCACATAGAGAACTGTGAAAAAACTCCATACGTCTTATCCAGCAATTGCCACAGCACATACAAACTGCCCCCAGTAAGACTAGTCATTTCTCCAATACAATGAAGGCCATCTCTGCGTCTGTTACACACAAGGTATACATCACATGCCACTGTGGTGTTACTTGCTGCTCACATTCAGTGAGTATCTAAAAAAATAAAGTCACAGAAACATTGAAATAGGGCATGAAACTGAAAACTAAGGAACAGTTACCATCATAATCTTGACATCTTCTTTTAGGAGGAGGGTTTCTGCCAAATGAACTGGGATTGCTGTGATTGTTGAAGTAATTTGACCAGCTCTCTGTGGTGCTTTCAAGGTGGTGCGCAGGTGCAACTACAGTTACAGCACTGGGGATAGCTTGTGCAGAGGAATACTGTTCAGAGGATTTACTGGGAGATGCGGACACCGGATTATATGAGCCTTCAACATCATTTTTTTCACTCTTGTATTTTGATCTCTCTCTCTCTCGGTGCTCTGTTTAAAGAAAATAAAGCTGAGTAAAGCCTTCATGTTTTTCTCAGTACGTCAGAACCATGAGCAAGAGATAATAACACGTTCCCTGGAATACTCAGCGTTCTGCACACTGAACTGTTCTTGAAGGAGCTCAGTCTTACCAATGGAATAATAACTAAATACAATGTAAACAGAAGCTTAACTTCAGAAATACCAAAGTTTTCTCTGCAAAAAGCACACTCATTCCTCTACTACTTATATGACTCTAGTTCACAGCTCTCTTTTAAAGGAGAAAGAAGGGCAAAAGCCTGAAACAACAAACCTACCTCTGCCCTTAACTAACGCGGTCTCAAGGTGCGTAGAATGCTGTAATCTGTGCCACTTACTTTTCCGACAGACCTGAACTAGCCCTAAAAGAACAATCATATGGTAACCACCTGCAACTGCAAAGAAGCCTTCTCTAAAACATACACAGTAACAAAATGAAAGAGGGAAACACTGCTTTGCAAAAAGTTCAGTCCTTAAGAAGAAAACAGAATAAAATCAACAGCTTTGTCAGAAAACACAGCACAAAAATATGACCTACTGATACCCACAGGAATACACCTGTGGATAAATTAAGAGGTTAGTGAAGAAGAAAACAAACCCCTTAACTGTTCTACTCTGAAGAACATCATCTTAATTAATAATTTCAAAAAAAAAACCAAGCTATTTGTGTTCTTGATGAAAAGAATTTGCTCCAACTTCTCAAGGGCATCTTCTGCCTGCTAGACCATTCAGAATGTAGAAGTGACACCTGTCACTGCAATAGGACGTTGTCATGGAGCAGCACCGCGGGTACTCACCGCTCCTGCTGCCATCCCGGTCCTTGCTGCGGCCCCTGCTGCGGCTGCGGCTCCGACTTAACCCTCTGCTTTTGCTCCGGCTTTTACTCCTGCCCCGGCGCCAGCCAGACTTCTCCCTGTACAAGTCACTCCTATCATAGTACCTGTCATAGTCCCGCCATTTCCCATCATCCCGCTTTTTCTCCCTGGTTCTAGGAAAGACAAATGTAGACCACGTCAGTGAAAAGAGAAACAAAATTAAAAAAGAAGCTTGCAACATGGAAAGATACTGTTCATCCTTCCCATCCACTTAGGCAGTGAAGCACTCCACCCAGAATTTCAAAAATTACACAGAGAAGTATAGAATCTTAAAGCTGATTCATTGGTCTGTAGAAAGCAGGAATTGGCAAGGTGAGAGTTATGATGCTCAGACCAGAAAAGGTTTTACAAGTGATGCTGAGATGGCGTGAACAACTTCCCCCAGACCCTAGAGCCCCCCAACGATTCTTCATTTATATACCAAGGGAAACATGGAACTGATGACATTCCTAGGAATTGTAATTCCTAGGAATCTCTTTTTGCAAGAGGCCATCTTCTTGTGGAGACTTCTCATGCATGTGATCAGCATACACACAATGTATCACAGTCAAAGGAAGGAGAAAATCCCTATTTTTTACAAAAATCATTACCTACAAGGTAAAAAAACACAGTCAAAGACTGACAGCAAATACAGAAAAATTTCTTAATATTGTGGTTCAAAGCTAACCTTTGCTCACTGGAATCTGCACGGCTCCTCTGGGGACTGGAATATTTCTTCTTCCTGCTCTCCCGCTCTTCTTCAACAGACTCTTGAAAATTCTGTTTAACACACAACTACCAAACAAGGACGAGTATCACTTTTTTTAATGAAGAAAATTACATCAAAATGTAGTTCAAGCTGCAGACAGCATCCCAGAGAAAACAATACTCAAGTATTACTTGCCCAGAGTACCAAAGCACTCATTACAAGTAATCAAGCACTAGACTGAAGCAAGCACTGTTGGAAGAGTTTTGGTTTCAAAACTTCCCTTTTTTCTGCAGAAGAGATGCCCCTAAAGAAAACCACTTTGATGTTTTGTTTCTAAACAGGATTCATGAAAGACAAGATCTCTCTCCAGTCTACTGCCTTGTTTAGCAAAAGCAATTCTACAAGTGAGGTACTTCCTGAACTTTAAAACACAGTCTGGAGCTACCTCTCCAGGTAGGGAAGTCACTAGCTGCCATTTCAAACAACTGCTTCAAGGAAAAAACCTTCTCCCATTGTGGAACCGGTCACTTTGCTTGCTGGCCTCCACCACAGCAGGTTCAGAATTCTGTCAGCTGTACCGCTGCTGCAAACCACTGACCCATTTTGCACTTCTGCTGCCACTTCACACTGCTTACAAGTTACTGTAAATTTTGGTGGAAAAAGTTTACATGCACTAATCTTTAAAAAACTTTTTTTTCCAATTGAAATGAAAAGGAAGGCTTCCTGCATCCTTGTAAAACAGGACTATCTGGGGAGAACCGGCAGAAATACTCAAGACTTGGCTTGACTGGGCTCTGGAGAGCTCCAGCTGCAGTCCTGCTCCCAGCACAAGGCGTATCACATGCTGCCTGGGGAGCCCCCCAGTCCTGACCTCACTGTGACTCCACTTGTGGTTTCTTTCGTGGCCTCCCTGTGTAGGAATCACACTGAGCTTCACGACACATCGTGAAGGCCTTGCTGATGTCAAAATAACTCATTAATGTCCTGAATTCTGTAACATTGTCCTATAAAGCTGTCCTAGATATCTCCTTTTGCTTATTGCCACTCCCCTCCTGCCCCCAAAACTCCCTCTTTGTCCCCACCAGAGCACTGGTTATGTCAACTGAAGGTAGTTCTACAGGACCTTCTATAAACTATGACTACCTTGAGAACAGAGGGGAAAGCTCTTACAGTGAAAGTCTTGTTCAAATTATGAACAAATAAGCATAAGCAAAGCTACTTGATAAATTGTCATAACTCCACATCCCATCCTCAGGTAAAAAAGGACATCAGAAAAGAGGAAGAAAAGTAAATACAACTGTAATTTAAATCAGTTGATGAACGACATTTGGGTAAATAAGGACCTGCATTTGTTTGGGCTGACCTGGGTTTGGCTGACTGAATTTCCGCAAGTATTTGTTACCTTCTCTAAAAAATTTGATTGCTTTCAATTTTGTCTTGAACTTAAAAACAAGAACTTAAAAACAAGGTATAAGAGAAAACTGTTGTCAAATTAACTCTACCTGACTTTCCAAAGTAATTATTCCAATACATGGGCTGACATATTTCAAAGATCTTAAGCATCACAGAAAACATTTTAAGTAATTTTCATTCCTCGTAGAATATACAAAAAAAATGATATGTTTTGTAACGCTTTCACTGCTTCTTCCTCTCAAACCCTTCCAAGTAATTATCCACTGGTATTGCCAGAACTGGGAATAGGATTTGAGTGCTTGATTGAAGGCACACTCTGCAAAGGGATGTAAAATGCTCTTGTCTGAACAGTCACCTGCTATGGTTCATTGGAACCACAGAGATCATTAGTCACAATACAGTATATTTTTTCTGACACATTTTGCCTCACAAATGCAAGTGAGCTAATTTGAAAATAAAAGACAGGCAGAATAAATAACATTACCTCCTCCTTGACTTCTTCTTTCTCTTGCCCTGCAGGCTTTGCCTCTGCCTTTGTGGGCTCAGCAGAAGGAAGGTAACTCTTGGTGTACAAACTTTCAAAAAGTTTATCTACAAACCCCGAAGTTTCTGGGGATACAGAACACAAGAAAATACTGTTACATATGCACTTAAATAAGTACATGCTTACATTTACCAGAGAAGACTCTGAAAACAGTCAGCCAGGTGAACTGCTTGCAGCAGCAGCACCTCAGATTAATGAGCATTAGCTCCACTGAAGGAGCTGGAATTACATTTGTGGCACTTGAGGCTGTTCATTTAGAGAAAGAAATTCCTCAGGTGTATCACAGACAGCAACAGACTTCTCCTGTTCTAAGGGGCAAGCATGACTGGCCACAGGAACAAGGCCACAGCTACCCACAGGTTCCATCAGCTACACTCAGCAGCCTCTTTAGGGTAGTTTTTATGACAGTAAATAATTCTCAACACCCTCATCAGCAGTTCAACATCACAAGAAATGCACAATAACCTTCCCAGTGAGTGTCAGACTTCCAGGTGTCTAAACCCTTGACTATGAAGCAAATTGCCACATGTGAAGCTTCCCAGCAATCTGAAGGATTAACATGGGCCAGGTTTTCAAAAGTTACCGAACACCTGCCAGAGAAACTTCTGGCAACACAACTGACACTTTAAATTAAACTGCTTTTATTTAATAACATTTTCTCCCACCCACCGTGAAAAGTCCAAGTTACACGACTTCATCTTATGATTATTATTTTTTTAACCACAAGATATTTATTCCTTCAAACTCCGTAGGAAATACTCACGACTACCATGAAAGATTTTGAAGGCAGTAATGGTGCATCACCCTCCCTCCGCCCACCAAGAGCAGAAGCTCCCAGATAGTCATGGCCAGCACACCTTTCTGCAGGAACACATCCAGCTGGTCAGCACAGAAAGCCTTCAGCTCCTTCTCGGGCTTGTCTTTCTTGACTAACGCCACGACATAGTTGGCCAAGGCTGAGGGGTCTGCATCACATCTAGTGAGGGAGAGAACTGTGCTTGGCTGCTGCAGGAGGCTGACCCCAGGGGCACAGTCACTGGAGAGCCCCCAAGAGCTCCTGCAACACCCCTGGGCTGCCAGGCTCACCCCCAGCACCAGCACAGCTGCACTGGGGCCATGGAGACAGAAAAGAGCTTTTTTGCAACCACAGCCCAGTATTTTAGTTGCCTTGTGGACCCCTCAACTGCACCTGACAAAGGTGCCTCTTCTCTGCTGAGGGAAACCCACCTTTCTTTTGCCCAGACAGACCCCACTGCTGCTGAACCTCCTCTGGGCCCAGCAGGCACACCTCCAGTGGCTCTACACGCACAGCAGAGCACAGGCCAGGGAAGGCACTGCACGAGGACTGAGAAGGATTAAACTGTGTTTAAATATTAAAACATTACTATAAAGGAGTTCAGAAAATGTCACAGAGGTCCATTTTCAATACACACACAGACACATTCTGTACAGCTTCAGTGACTGTCCTGATGTGCTAGGGTTTCCTCCTTAAGGATACCTCCATGCCATATTTTACAGTGACCTTCTAACACTGGTAGAACAACTAAAGGGGAGCAATTACTGACCCAGGTTCTCTCCTCACGCTCCCTCACCTGGGTCAGGCTCCACAAAGACCAGAGACAGCACCTTTGTGTGGTGATATTTCACCACTGATCTTTAAACTGGATATTGCTTTAGATTCCAAGATTCACTAGGAACACCCCAGGTATGAAACAGAGTGACAGTGTGATTTCAGGACAGCTCCTTGTTTGGCCTCTCAGAGGGTGCAGGTGCCAGATATGAGGTGGGGGCAGAAACCTAAAATACTCAGAAATTTTATTTTTTTATTTTTTTTTTAAATTAACATTTAAAGAGAGAATCATGTCTTTTCTGTGAACAGTAACTCTGGAAATAGAAAGAAAAAAATTGAAGTATATGCACCTCAAAATAATCCCTCTCAAGTAATAAAAAGATCCACAAAACAAGCAAAAAGCAAAAAGCCAAGCAGAGGGCAACCGGTGACAGAAATAAAAATCCTCAATGAGCAGCAATCAAGCAGCTCTGCTCTGCTCTCATATAGCCTCCAACAACATCCAACCTCCAGTGAAAGCCAGGGTAAATGGAGCAATTAAGAACAAAGAAACCACAAATTAACAGATTTTACAATTCTTACACACACAGAGAAATAACCTGTATGTGATGCATTCACTGTATGCGATGTGCTGGGGCCCTCACTCGCCGACTATAAATCTTCACTTTCAAGTAGAGGAGATGATTCCTCACTTTATAACCATTACCTTTCCTTTCTCCACACGTCAGTCCCTCCCAAGCACACCATCCCATCCCATTATGCACTAGAGGAGCACACAAGGTGAGTGCACTGCTCCAGGTAAGCCAGGCTGTATTGTCACTCCAGTGCCACTACAGAGTCCCTGACTGTCAGGGCCCACTGGCCAATTCCTTGACTCTCTGCATCACATCCCAGAGCGCAGCTCAAATGCCCAAGGAGTGGAGCTGGCAGAGAAAGTGCAGGAGCAGGAGTCAGGCTCCAGTCTAGAGACTTTCAGTGGGGTTTGACCAAAAACTAGAGAAACCTGTGACTGTAACAAGGGGAAACGAAAGTCGTAAAGAACTTCCAAGAGCCTAATACTTAATGATGGCAACTGAGCAGACCTAAGGCCTATTTAAAACTCTTCCCCCAGGCCTCAGCTGTGCTTCATGGGAGACCTAAGCCTGGCTGGGCACTGATAAACAGCTTCCCCTGGTGAGACCCACTGACCCCTTGCTGTGCTTCCACCACCAGCATCAGCTGTGTTCAGGCACCAGCACCCTTTGCAGCCAGGCTGAGTTATTAGAACCCGTGAAATGCGTGACATTTATGGATCCACGCTGACTCCATCCCAGTCCCAGTCCCACTGTATGCAGCAGCAGAACAGAAATGCAGAGTTCCCACAGTTTCAGCGTTATTCCTGGCTTTGTCAGCAGCTCCTGCAGCAGCCCCTGGCTCTGCTTCCAGATTACCAAGCTGGGACTGGACAGCATATCCAGGGCATCAGTTGGGAGCACACAGAATCACAGATGTTTGAAAAGATGTTGGACCACCCAATCCAATCTGTGCCTGATTCCCATCCTGTCCCCAGCCCAGAGCCCCGAGTGTCACCTCCAGCCCTTCCCTGGACACCTCCAGGGATGGGCACTCCGAACTTCTCTGGGCAGCCCCTGCCAAGGCCTGAGCTCCCTTTCCATGGGGAAATTCCTGCTGCTGTCCCCCCTGAGCCTCCCCTGGCCCAGCCTGAGGCCGTTCCCTCTCCTCCTGTCCCTGTTCCCTGGGAGCAGAGCCCGACCCCCCCGGCTGTCCCCTCCTGCCAGGGACTTGTGCAGGGCCAGAAATTCCCCCTGAGCCTCTTTTTCTCCAGGCTGAGTCTCCCCAGCTGCTCCTCATCAGACTTGTGCTCCAAACCCCTCTCCAGCTCCGCTGCACGTTGTAGGACGAAAGGCCCCGGCACCTCCCCGGGCCCGGGCTGTCCCGCACTCCGGGCGCGCCGGGCCCGGGCCGGGGGCAGGCGGGGCAGGGCCGTAACGCCTCGGCCGGGCCCGGTCCGCGGGAAGCGCTGTCCGCCCGGCCCGCCCGCCCGCACTCACATGGGCTCCAGCAGCTTGGCCAGCCAGGACTTGAGCGCGTCTACGCTCTCGATGATCATGGTGGCCCCGCGCCGCCCGCTCACGGCTACACCGCCGCCATCGCCGCGACCTGCCCGGCACCGCCCGCAGCGCAGCCTGCTGGGCACGGCCGGGGCGGGGCCGCGCCGCCAGCACCAATCAGAGAGTTTCCCTCGGCTGTGCCAACCAATGGCAGCCAGCCGGAGCCGAGCCGAGGGTCAGGGGGAACCAGCAAGTTCGGTAGAGCGAGCACATGAACCCGCGGCGACATCTTGGGGGGGGTGCTCTTAAAGGGACAGCGTGCAGGCGGGAGCACTCCCCGGACAGGCACACCGGGCTCGTTTCCCCGTCCCCAGGCGGAACAAGCGGCCGCAGCGGTCGCTCCGTTCTCACTGCCCCCCACTCTCCTTCTCTCCCCCATCTTCACGCTAGAAAAGGTCCCGGTCTCCCCCCGCCCGCTGCCTTGGTACGGCCTCTGCTTCCCCCGGCCGCTCCCGCTGTTGGTACGGCCCTTGCCGCCCGTCGTGAGCGGCAAGATGGCGGTGAGTCGGGGCTGGACGCCGGGGCTCTGGGGCTCCTCGGGGACTCGTGGCGTTCCCTGTCCTTTCTCGCCGCCCTCCTCAGGGTCACTTCGGCTCCGCGCTCGCCGGGACCAGGGTCCCATGGCGGCGTGCGCGGGACCTTTGCCCGGCGGCTGCGGCCCCTTGGAGTAAAGGTCTTAGGATTGTCATCGTTTTGGTGGGAAAAAGTTAAATCCTCGACCTTTATGAGTGCAGAATGCGTGTGTCTGTAACGTGTGTGTTCCTTAACAATTCTTGTGTGTTACATGGTGAAAGAATAAGATCATTCAATACTTGCCGTGTGTTATGCGATGAAAGAATGAGGGGAAGGGCTACCGAACACGGATTTAATTAAAATCGCTTGGAATGCTTTACCTGACGTTTCACCTGACGGCTCAGTCCGTGAACTACAGTTCGAGTTGTTACCAAACCCCTTCCTGGCACAGGGAGTGCTGTTCTCACTTTACGTCAAGAGGAGGATGCATCGCATGGGTTTACGGAGAGGCTGGAATAAAAGCAGAATTCTCTGGGTGTTTTCACTTACGATTTATATCCTCTTCTGCCTCCCCAATTCGGATCTCTCTGAGTAACCTTTACTGGCTAGATGGGCAGTGTGTCCGTGCGTGTGTGTGTGTGTGTGTCTTGGCTACTGTAGAGTCTCTTGCCATGGAAAATGGTTGTTAACTTTCCTATCAGATCTTGGGTCCAGCTTCAGAGGGCTGGATTTTGGGATGCAGGCTTGCAGTCATCACTGCTGCTCTGCTGAGAGGTTGTGCAGTGCTCTGGAGCAGTGCAGGGAGATCAGGAGTGGTCTGTGATAGGTTACAGTTCTGTTATTTCTTACCCTGTTCAGCTAGACTTCTCTTCCTTTCTCGTTGAACAGGAGCGTAAAGGAACAGCAAAAGTGGATTTCTTGAAGAAGATTGAAAAAGAGGTCCAGCAGAAGTGGGACCATGATCGAGTGTTTGAGATCAATGCTGCAGACAGGAAGGACCAGAGGAGGTATCATTGTACTTGGTTTTTTTACTGCTTGAAATGTCTTTTCATTCAAAATGTGGTGGGGGGAAAAGGTGGCCGCTTTTGTAAGGAGCAGTATTCATGGCTCAGCTGGAGGGACTTGCTCACAAGCTGTTGATGTTTCTATAGCTGATGACATAAAGCAGCTGAGTACGTGTGTGGCTGAATTCCAGCGGGATGAGAGAAGGTTTTGCATTCCCTGGCAGTGTCAACACCCTCTGTGGTCCTAAAACCAGTTTCCCTTTGGTGACTTGTGTTCTTTGATCTGGAGGTGCCTGAGCCCTCGCTGCTCGGGAGGTTTCCCTTGGAGGGAGATTGCTCTGTTGGGGAAGACCACATGACTCTTGCTTTTATTTGTGCCCCAGAGTAAACCCTGAGAAACTTGTTTATCCTCTGGGAATGCTTGGAAGCACAGTTCTTTCGGAATTGGTGGGATCTGTGCTCTTCACAGGTGTGCAGAGGCTGCCTGGGGGAACGGTGTTAATCCTGTGGGAAGCTCTTTGACTGGAAAAGCACTGACCTTGGCAGTATGAGGTTAATGTTTGGTTTGTGGGAAAGTCAGACTAAACCAAGATAATAACTGAAGTGCTGTAACAGGTGGCAGGTTCTTAAACTGTAGATTTTGCAAGCAAACAAATGACTTGGCCTTTATTCCTGCACGTTAATGGATCGAGGGAGTGTGTGAAGGGAAGAGGGAAGAGACAAGGTGTGAAGCAGAGTGCAAAGGTAGAGGTAGAAATTCAGTGTCCTAAATGTAAATATTTTCTTAGCTGCTTAGAGAGCTCAGGTTCCAACTGCGTAATAAGTCTTTGAAACACCCTGCAACAATATATCCGTGTGAAAGGAGTGATTGCTTGCGGAGTGCCCTTAAAATCTGAAGTAAGCCTTTGCTGTAATTAATTTACAGAATTTGTTAGAATTAGAATTTGTTACCTTTGGGAACATGCTATATCTTTTTCAGTGTTTCTGTGTGATGTCACTCATCTGTGGATTTTCTCTTTAGTGTTTATTTTTTAAGATGATAATGCCTGTTAGTGTATCAGCTCTTTAAAATCAAAGACTCATGTTACTGGCAAGGAAAATACTTTGACATCACTGTGGGCTGGTAATACCTGAACACACCAGTTACCTGTTTCACTCATGTAATGTCTGATGGTCATTTACAGAGCTAATTATGTGTTTTAATTCTTTGACTTTCTTCTCAGCAAAGGGAAGTACTTTGTTACTTTTCCTTACCCCTACATGAATGGCCGCCTGCACCTGGGACACACATTTTCCTTATCTAAATGCGAGGTAAAAATTCTCCTTTGCTGATACCTTTATATACTACTCTAGAACAAATGCTGATTCTGTAGTTCAGTTTTGAGCTAACAGGATGCCATGTCAATTCCTTTATAGCTTTAGTAATTAAACTTTTAATTAAACTCAAAACATTTTCAGTAGGAATATTGCTAGCTGAAAGGAAATTCCATTCATGTGATTTTTAATTTGATGAGGTGTGGCTGCAGGTGTTTCCCCTGTTCGTTCTTTGAAATGAGATATTTAGGAGATGCTGCTCAATGGCTCAAACTTCACAAGAGCTCTTTTGTTTGCGCTTGCTGTGCTCTGTGACCTGTTTGGGAGGAGATTTTGGGTGCTAGTGGGTAGGATTCCACAGCAGCCCTCGTTTTGCACCCGTTGGTCTCTGGTGGAGCCAGCCTGGGAGCCTGGCACACCGTGCAGCCCCAGGGGCAGGCCTGGAAACAAACTCCAGTTTCACCTTCCTGCCAGAGTTCCCCCCAGCTCTGTCACCTGTCAGTGGCTGCAGGTTAGAGAAGGAGTCACAGCTGTGTTTGGGTAGGTGCTGGCTCAGCCTGGGGCTGCTCCCATTTCAGCTGTTCCATTTTCCCATTTTCCCTGTCCGTAGTTTGCAGTCGGGTACCAGAGGCTGAAGGGGAAGAGCTGCCTGTTTCCCTTTGGGTTGCACTGCACGGGGATGCCCATCAAGGTGAGAATTTTGCAGTTGCTGGGGATTGTTTCTGATGGGGTTTTTATCCCTTGGACTGACTGGAGCCTTGCTTACTGTCCATCCCCAACATCACCTTCGTTTATTTAAAAACTCACCAAGACAGTGTGATTTGGAACCTGAATTTGTAGTAAACATGTTGTGCTTGAGCTATAACATCACTTTAGGAGACAAAGTGCTGGAAAACTGATTTTTACCTGTGGTATGTTTTCCTTTGCAATAAAATCCTTACAGTAAACCTCTTCCTGCCTGGAAGGTTTTCTGGAAGTGGCAGGATCTCCTAGATGTTAATGCAAGGTCCAGAAAAAGTTTAAAGTGTGGAATGCAATATGTTATCAGTAAAACCCACTCCTTGGCTGTGATTGCAGCCAGTGCCCTGGCTGACACACTCCCAATAACTCTGTTCAGGCTTGTGCAGATAAGCTGAAAAGAGAAATGGAATTGTATGGTTGCCCACCTGAATTTCCTGATGAGGAGGAGGAAGAGGAAGAAAATTCTGGTAAAAAAGAGGAAGAAATTATCATCAAAGACAAAGCAAAAGGCAAAAAGGTAAAGTATAAACCAAGTCCTTCTGGACTGAGGGCTGTGCTTTCAAAACTTTGGTGTGCACATTGTAGGCTTTTCCTCCTTTGAGCTCATAGAAACCTCAGTACAAAGTTTTTTATTGTTTTTGCTAAGGTAGCTGAGTTACCTTAGACTTGAAAAATGTGTTAACTGCATGGTTCCAGGGATACCACGTTAATGCATGAACCTTTATTGGTAAGCTGATGCACTCCCTAATAGTTTTCTGAGAAAAAAAACAGATCAGGACCAGAGTAATACCCTCATTTTTTTCTCTCTTTTAATTTTTCTAATCCATTCATGGAACATTCATAAGCAGGTTGTAGGAAATAGCCCTGCTTTTTCTCAGAGGTAGAGTATGTGTATTCCTGCTATTCTGGTTATTGTTTTTTAAGTTGGTATCTAGCCAGTTCTGTCTAGGAGCCTAGATAGGCTCCATAAGACCGTCCAAACTATTTTCATTTGCCAGGTGTTTAAATGAGATTTAGGATTTTGGGAGTATCCCAAAGCAAGGCAAATTTGAGTCAAGTCTAGGAAAAGTTTAGAGGTGCTCTGTATGTTGTTTATGTATGCTCAAGAGATCGCCCCACCAGAACTGCTGGGTTTGGGCTTCTGGCTGCTCTACAGCACAGAAGGTGTCACCTTGTCTGGGTCACTGCTGGGGAGAGACAGGAGATTCTCAAGGGTCAACAGCTGGGAAAAGTACCATGAACAAAGTGACAGCGGCAAAGGGTTTTGGTACAGGGGTGCAGGCCTATCCACCTTTCCATGGTGCTAAAACCCATGGGTTTGAGCAGGGCCTCAACACCAGACAATTCTTTGCCAGGTGGTTGTGGCAGAGCCTCTGCAGGTGTTTTGGACATTGACATGGAACAGCTGGGAAGAGGAAGGTTAGGGAATGAACAGTGAATACAAGGTATGGTAGAATGGAAACTCTGTGAATACGGG